TTGAGAGGGATTTTTCTAAGCTCCCTTGCCAGCCAAGTGTGGAGCAGAAAAGCATTTGCTCAAACCTCCTTTATGATCTCTCCTCACCACCTCCCTCCTTGTGTCCATGAAGCCTCCCCCAGCTCCGGCAACTGTTTAGTGCTATCCTTTGTGTTCCATAAGGCTCATGTCAGAATTTATCATGACACATTTTGCATCAGAATGGAACTATTAATTGTCCACCGACTTTGCTAGATTGTGAGCTCCTTAAGGGACAAATCTTCCCTTCTGCTTTCTTGTGACTACCTGCATCTCAAGAGCCACCTGTGATGGTACACTCTCAATAAATATAGGCTTTCTAAATGCATAAATGAATACATGCCACCAGAGTGTTTATGCTTCCAGAAATCCTGCTCCAATCCTGTTACTATTCAAAGAATCAACTGGGAGTGACACACAGCTGTTTTTCTTTGTTCTGATCTGCTCAGGTCAGATTAATGTATTATTTTTTATTACTAATCAAAAACATCTTCAGAAACTTTTCATCCGAAAGTTTTTTTTTGTATAAACCTATCTATCTCCTCCAAATCACTATATCTGACACAGTGTGTTTTTTAGTCTCTTCTAACCAAATGATATTGATAGAAATTTGTTGCTTTTGAGAACCTAAGTGTATTTCTCTTACAAATTTCAAAGGGAATAAAGTGAAAGTATTATCAAGAAGTGGGGAGAATTCATATGTCAGGTGCAGCCCATCCTTGATTCGAAACCTATAGGCAGAGAGGTGAATGGTCAGTAGGGCTAAAGGATTTCTGTGGTTCCTGCAGAACCAGGAGCCACTGAGGTGCCAAGACAGGGCCTTACAGATGTTTCAGGAAACCGAGCACCCAGAGGACTGTCTTGCCCGGTTCACCAGGTGCTTCCTACCCAGGCACTGCCAGCAGGACAGTCCTAGTTCTGCACCAGCCCCCTGCCTCTCCTCTGCATCCTGCTCCTTTACCTCCAGTAGCAGGCAGGAGCCAGTGGACTATGCCTAGAAACAGCCAAACAAACGAGGGAGCCCAGGAAAAAGGATCGAGGACCTCTTGATCATTAGTTTTCAAAAACAGCAGAGGCAGAAGCTGGAAGTCATGAAAATTGGGAAAAAGAAACCAAAGAAGCAGTGTCTTTGTTGCAAGTTTCATCCAAGTCCTGGGTCTTTCTTCTCCTGCTCCTGTTCCTTTTCAGATGAAACTAAATGAGTTCTCTTAGGTTAACATTATACAAAGATACAAATTAATATATAAATAAGATAAAATTTTATTTTTAGCAAAAAAAAAAAAAACTTTTGCTGTTATTTAAAAATATTCTTGATGTTTTCCAACCATCAGGGGAAACATGCACTTTTCATTGCTGTTAACAGATTTTTTAATTGAAGAAAAATACAATTATGATAACAACTTCCATACATTATTTCATTTTATTTTACATAATTCTATCAAGACCATTGTGAAGTAGATATGCTCTGCAGATGAGAAACTGAAGCTCAGACTTTAAACAACTTGCCAAACACAGTTAGTAAGAAACAAAAGTATTAACCATATCATATCACCTCAATCATCCTTTTACTTTCCTTTGAAAGTAAAAAAACTCACTCTCTTTTGAAAATCCCATCCAGGTTCTACCTGGACAAAAGTATCTAGCTGCCTCTCTTTCTATAGTGAGCTCTGAATAAGTAGCCTCTGATTAATCCTATAGGTGGTCTCTATTCTTTCAATAATACAGTCTCAAAAGAAGAAAAATTGGTGATTTAGCAATTATTGTCTGAATAAATTAAACAGTGTTTTATTTAACACTTTAACATTGTGAAGAGGGCAATATATGAATTAATATATAAACAAAATAAAATGGCTTTAGACATAAAATGAAAAAAAAAAGTTTTACATGTTTCAATTTCTCCCTATATGCTTTCCCATCCATTGTGCACTTTACTGTTGTCCCTAAGGGTTTGAACATTTGATTAATATCACCTCTCTGGTCCCTTTGAGTCTATCCACAGACCCCAGGTTACAATAATGTAAACTTGACTTCCTTCAACTCCACCCACTTGGGGGCAAGGGTAAGGCATGGTAACTTCAGCCTGACTGCTGTTTTGTTTTATTTTTGTTTTGTGATAGGGTCTTGCTCTGTCGCCCAAGCTGGATTGATTGCACTGGTGCCAATCATGGCTCACTGCAGCCTCAAACTTCTGGGCTCAAGGGATCCTCCTGCCTCAGCCTCCTAAGTAGGTTGTTGGGACTGCAGGTGCATACCATGACACCTAATTTTTAAATTTTTAATACAAATGGGGTTCGATTTTTAAAGTTTAAAATTTTTTTATGCAAACAGGGTCTTGCTTTGTTGCCCAGGCTGGTCTGGAACTCTTGGCTTGAAGTCATCTTCCCACCTTGGGCTCCAAACGCAGGTGTGAGTCACTGTACCCAGCCAAGGAGCCTGACTCTTCACAGAGCACTCCTCATCTCATTGGGACATTGGTTGGGTTAGCAGGGAACAATAGTTCCTACTTGGAGAGTACTCCTCTATGTCAGGCATGTGGCAAGGTCTTCCATATGTGATCTACTTAACCCACAAACAACCACATCAGGAAGGTCATATTATCACCAATTTACAGATGGGGAAACTCAGGCTTCCAGAGAATAAGGACCTCAGTCAGATTCATAAGCCCTAACTATCTGGGCTCTTAACCCCACGTGCTCCAGCCTCAGTGGGCTACATCTTGGTGAGATGCCTATGTTTTGGTTCACTGGTCCACTCCTGAGGACCAAGGCACAGGTTTAGAGAGACATACCAGGAGCTAAAGGTACTTCTGCATCCAAGAAAAAGAGGTTTCAGTGTCCCCTTTACATTGCTGGCCTCCCTCTGGGCCTTGTACCTTATGTTTATTGCCTCATTTAATCCAGGTAAGGACTCTTTAGGATTCGTGGCATGTATTCTTTTTACAGACAAGGAAGATGACGCTCAGGAGTTTGGATAACCTGCCCAAGGTCATGCAGTGGAGGAGAGGACTAGAAGGTAAATCAATGCACCTTTCACTACCTTCCCCTTCTCCCGGCTGTAGCAGTGAGTTAACTGGCTCAGGCTTGCCCAGCGGAATGCCCTTCAGGACACACTGAGTACTGTAGTAAGAGCTGCATATGCGCCCAGGAAGAATGTGGACAGACACTGTGATTCACGGGTAGAAGGGCCTCCTCCCAGGGGCAGCAGAGGCAGATCCTGTCTCTGGTGTGCCCCGGTCCCCGACCTGGAGGCCTCCTGGGCCAGGCCACGACGTTCCCCGGTGGCGATGGTCACCAGCCATGCTCGACTGCCCTGAAGGGACATTTTCTGCTTATTCCCTTGCCCGGCTGTGCCCTCCACCTGGAAGGCCTGTGCCCTCTTCGCCTGCATGTCCTACCCTGAGGAGGCTCCCTTGGTCTTTCATCGCTCTCCCTGTTGATCTTCACGCCTTCCCGAACCACCGCGCCCAAGCAGGGGCACACCCTCGGCCCTCTTCACAGGGCGCTCCTCCTCACAGGGGTGCCCGAGAATTTTATTCTGTGCCTTCCTGGTGGCTCCTACAAGTCTGGAAGGGCAGGAGGCGCATCTCACTCCTCTGGGTCCCCTCCCCTAGCGCCTGGCGGGAGCCCAGGCTGCATGTGTGGAATTCATGACTTTTTCTCTCCTGCTCAAGCTGAACACACTGCTGGCTCCTGCTCGGGTGGAGCCCGGCTAATCAGAATGAGGGGCTCCCCGTAGGGCGAAGGGGTGCGCTGTCAGAGGTGGCATTCCCGTTTTACGGAGACACACGGTGTCTTACACGCCAGGGAGAGGTCTGAGACGCAAAGAGCCGTCGAGCGGGCTTCGGGATTGCTTCGCTGTCACCTCCGCCTGCAGCCACCCTTCCGCACGCACTTGCGTGTGCACCCAGGCCAACATGGAAGGCGCCATCCTAACTTCTGCCGTGAGCAGGTGGGAGGGAAGAGAGACGAGAGGTATTCCATTGGTTGTCTGGGAAAATGAATTGCACCTTCCCCTCCCTTGCGGAGGATCAACTTTTCCCACCCCCTCGGGTGGGCACTCGCATCCTGGGGCCGGAGCCCGAACCCGGGAGCCAAGGGGCCCCAGTTCCAGGGACGTGAAGCTGAGCGTAACAGCGGGCGCTCCCAGACACTGGGGAAAGTGCTTTACGGTGTCCCGAGTCCCTCGAGTCTCGCCAGCTGGGCGAGCGTGCGGGTGCCCCGACCGACTAGCGGCCCGGGGTGCAGGGTGGCGGGCCCAGCGGCGCGCGTCCCCCTCCCTTTCCTGGGGGTCCGCACGTGTCGTCCGCGCCGCCCTCCCCCCCACGAGTAACGCGCGGGTCCCCCAGCCCGGTGGCCGAGCTGGGCTGCCCGGCCCGCGGGCACACCGCCGGCGGCCGCATCCCGTGCGGGGCCGCGGCGCGATGCTGCGCTGGAATGAGGAAGCGCGGCGGCAAGGGGAGGGCCCGGGCGCGGTGCGCGCGGGGGTGGCGGCGGCGCGCCGAGCGGGCCCGGCGCGGCGCGAGGCGCGGCTGAGCCCGGCGGCGGCGCCAGCAGGTACGGCCCGCGCCCGCCGCCGCCCGGGCGGCCTTTTGGGGGCTGAGCCGGAGCCCGGCGCTGTTGCAAAGTTTTCGTGCGCGGCTCCGCTGGCCCAGAGTTGCGGCTGAGACCGGCGCCGCGCGAGCCGGGGGACTCGGCGACGCCGGGGGGACGGGACTACGCGCCCTCTCCGTGTCCCGCTCTGCGCCCCTCTGCGTGCCCCGCTCCGTGTACCGGAGCAGCGAGCGGGGAGGCGGCCGAGACTTGCGCGCAGGGCCAAGCCGGCTGCGGGGCAAGTGGAGAGGGGACCGCCAGCGTGGGTCACCCCAAAGTTTACGGGGCGGCAGGGCGCGCGCTCCGGCCACCCGCCGCTCTGGGCGGCAGCAGGTGGCAACGCGAGGGCGCGGCGGGGGCGGCCGACGCGGAGGGGGCCAGGTACGCGGCCCGCGGGCGGCGCTGTGCACGCGGGGCAGCCGGTCGACCGGGAGCGCGAAAGCCGGGTCTGAGCCGGCTGGGGGCGGGGAGTGTGGCGGAGAAATGGGGAACAATGCGAGTGAGCAACTTCAGGAAGTCATTGTGAAAGAAAGCTGGGAAGAGCTCCGCGGCCAAGTTAGCAGGACACTCTAACAAGTGCCTGCGCGGCCCGCGCCCGGGGCGGTGACTGCGGCGACCCCCCTGGGTCCCCGCGCAGCGCAGCCCAGCCTGGGCGGGACGCTCGGCCGCGGCGAGGCGGGCAAGCCCGGTAGGGCAGAGGGAGCCCCGGCTCCGAGGTTGCTCTTCGCACCCGAAGATCAGTCTTGGCCCCAAAGCGCGACGCACAAATCCACGTGAGTGTTTTCAAATTGAATTTCAATAGGAAAACTTGGGGTAACTGGTGAATTTAAAAAAAAAAAAAAAAAAAAGTAAAGAAAGGCGGTAAGATTGGTAATCCCTGGTGTCGCTCCGGTCCGCCTCTCCTTTCTGAGGACAGTGAGAGCATTGACTTCTGTCAAGCGTCTGCCGCTCTGCACTGTGCCAGCAGGTGCAGGACCAGGCCGGCATGGGACACTTCTGAGCAGCCCCACTGTCACCAGGAGAGGAGTTCTAGCTCCCAGCCATGTTGAAATTTATATAGACCTACATATACCCACAGAAGTCAGCCTTTATAAAGTCGTGTGTAAAGAGTTTTCCTTGTATTTGAGCCGAGAGCTTTCTTTTTATACTATAAATATGATGAGATCGAGTCAGAACTTGATTTCTACAAGAGAGGAATTATCCCGGCTTCGAAAAGTTAGTCCTTTTGCTGACCGCAGGTTTGGCGCTCAAGTCACCAAACCTTCTCAGGAAAACCCTTAGTAATATTAAGGCATCAGGTTACTTGCGGTTATGTTTGAAATGTATTTTAAATATTTGTCAAGCATCGCTGCTGGTGCCTAAGCAACCTCGTGAAGGCTTGTTTTTCCTACTAATTTGGAGGCAGAGAGTATGGCATCTAATGACCGAAACCCGTAGCGATTCCATAGGGTCTGACCAGGCACAGCTTTCAAATGCAGCTTCCCTCTCTCTAGGGACTGCAGCCCACCCAGACTGAATTTCAATGCGGCGCGCTCTGCTTAGGTTACCCACTCACAATTTCCCACTGCACCGCAGGCAGTATATTTCAGCTTTGAGATACCTTGTTTTAAACTTCGAGACAAAATGGTGTTGAGGAAATGTCTCCTTACTAGTCCCATCAACTTCTGTTAAAAGAGGAAAATTTATGGAAGTTGAAAATACTGCGTATGATGTTTAAACTTTCATAGAAATTCAAATGATTTTAAGGCCAGGTTCAGTCTGGTTATGAGCTGAGTGGGGGGAGAAACCCACATAAAAATGTCCTGGGTCCTCTTGAGTTTATTTCTTTGTTTGAAGATGTTTGTTCAATGAGGTTTATTGTACTCATCTTTTATGTGGAGTTCTAAAAAGTAACAATTTTGTATTATTTATATTAGAATGTGTCAATTTCTGTGACAAATCAGATCAAATTGGGCTGCGGCTTAAAATGTACACGAGGCAAATATTCATGACAAGAAGATTCACCTTACGCTGGCGTCTTGTAAAACGCAGAACACGTTAAAGAAATACTGTGTACACATACAAATAATGATGTCACATTAAAAATACTACATTATTCTTGCTTGATAGAATGTATCTGATTTCAAATTTCGCCATGAACATATCTCATACCTTTTTTACATGAAAAAAAAATTGTTTTTGCTTCTGAGTCTCACAGTCAATCAGAGCTGATGACCAGAACATTTTATTGAACTCAATGGTCATGTTTTCTTCCCCTTTTGTTTCATGGTGAGAGTTGAAGGAAGGAGTTTAGAAACTCTCCAGTACTTGTTTAATTCATCAGTGTTCTAATTAGAGTGCTACCTCTTGGAAAACTACGCACTCCCCTATTGCAGAAACATCATAACAATAATCACCCACCCTCAGGGTCTCCAGGAGACCACAAGGGCTGCAGATAAAAGTGTGGATGTGTTAGGTTTGACCCTTTTGAAGAGTTTTACACAGACTCCTAAAGAGAAGATCAGCTGTGGCCGTTTGTAGCCATATCCTTTGTTGAAAAACTAAGATCGTAGTGAATATATTGATTGGCTAAGAGGTCTAAAGCCCTGTTGTACTGCAGACCACTGTCTTCCTTGTTTGACTAGAGACTTAGAGTTTGAGAACAGTGGTTCTTTGGTTTGGATACATTTTTTGTTCTTGATTTGGATGTATGTGTTTCATGCGTGGTTAATGTAGCATATTTTCAATATAAATGTCAAAAATTTTGAAATAGGAAAGAACTCTCTATTTTAATATATGTATATACGCACTTCAAGATTATGCCTATCTTAACAGATACATGAAATAAAGAAATACCATGTACATATACACACACACAGAGCATGCACACAGAGTGGAGTGAGAGGCGTGGGGCAGTGTGGAAGAGTTTTAACATCAAACAGACCTGAAATGAGTATTAAAGGCTCCCTTTATTTTTAAACTTTTACTAAAACAAGATGGATTTCCCTATGTTATATAATGGTGAATTTTAGGCATAAATAACGTTTTTTGAGTGTTGCATAATTGTATGTATTAATGTAATGTAACTGCAGTTAACTAAGAATTCATCAAGGATAGCACTGTTTTGTGGCATTTTTTTTCCTCCTCTATTGGAATTGTGAAATAATTTCACTATGAAATAAGTGTTGGTTCTTGTCATATTCTAAGGGAGATTGATGTAGTGGCTGCACTCCAGCTTACAGAAGGTAAACCACGACCTTTTTGTGTTCTCTGAAAACGCTTGTCTTCCGATGCCTCTGTTTCTGAGACTGACAAGCACTCTGGGGTACTGTGACGCCTGCTTCTAGCAGCAGAGTTGCTGCAGCTCCTGTCCTGGCTGTGAACATTGTTCTCTGTCTGATGTCTTTGCGTTCATAATTACAGAGACTTCTGCTCTATTCCATTTCATATTTGTGCTGAATAATCATTCCATTTTATGGGAGAAAATACAAGATGTAAAAGCAACAAGTGACCCATCCTTTGAAGCTTACAAGAAGAGAAACATAAATCTATTTCACATCTTAAAAACAGATCAGTTTTATTTTGCTCAAAAAGGGCACATGTACATTTTTGATCTAGGTCTTAGAAACAGAGTTTCAGAGGATCAGCATTATACACACTGTCTCTCCCTCTCTCTCTCTCATACACACACACACACACACACACAGTCTTAAAATTCAGATGAGGAACAAGATAGGAATGAGGTTTTGTTAGGGACGTAGAGCACCTAAAACCAAAGGATATCGACAGTAACAAAACTATGTTTACTGTGGTGCTGACTGAACACTCATGCTGGTATCTTCGTGTGGACCGTGGCTTTCTTGTATTTCTTTGCAGTTTAATAAATGACTTCATACCTCAGGTTACCTTTCCACATCTCCTGGAATATATGTTTATGTCCTTAAAGTGTGTCATCACTTTAGTAGCTTTAGTTTGAGTTTTTAAATGTTTGGTGATATTCCAACAAATATTTTTAAGACATTATGAAACCGTATGAAGTGCTGCATATTACAAGTGAGCTACAACAGCAAACAGAAGAAGGTTTGCAGAAGGTTTTTAAGTGGCGAAGTTCGGGCCTGCCCATTTTGGTGTCTCCTTGGTGGTTACTCCTGAGAAGGGCCTGGAGGAAAAGCAACTGAGGCCTAATCTACAGGCAACTGCCAAATTGTTTCAGTTGATGTTTTTTCCCTCTCATGTTTGACTATGATAAATAGGTAGATGCCAGAGGAGTCTTCAGCCAACCACCTGTTAATAAACTGTTAAAAAATCTTGCAAACCCTAGGTCACAGGTGTGGGAGCCATTTGTCCTGCCTGTTAACAGGCCTGGCCCTAATTCTTTTCTCCCATGGCCATTTCTGCCTTAGGGGAACTCACAATTCCTGTTGACTAAAAGAGCACCCTTTTCCACCACAAGCCTGACAAATCAGACGTCCACATAATTTCTGAACTCATTTTGGTTACGACAGGAAGCACAGGCTCCCTTCCTGTCTGTGTTTTCCTAAGAGAAAACGGTCTTCCCTCCTTTTTTGCATATTTGGCAAGTGGTTCCACCTTTCTCTGCACCCTGGTGGAGTGTGAAGGCAGCAGTGGAACCTTCTGGAGGAGGAAGAGGACACAGAGGCCCTGTAGCCAGGCACCAAGATCCCTCCCAGGTGGCTGAGTCTGAGGGAAACTCCGAGCACCCCTGGGTCCTCAAAGTCTGGATTTGTGTGGAAAAGGCAGCTCTCACTTGGCCTTGGTGAGGCCTCGGTTGGTTGGTGAGTGCCACATAGTTTCTTTGTGTACTTGCATGGATTGGAATAGCCAGTGTGTTCTTCCCTCTTCCCTGCTGGTGTTTCCACAGTGGGTGGCCTGAACCCAGAGCAGCTCCCCATATCCCTATGCAGGCCACCTGTCTCGGGTGATGGAGAGCATCATTATGCTCCGTCTGCGCGCTCTGCTTTCGGATGGCCCCATGCTCCACCTCCTGATAGCTCGTGGCGCGGGGCCACGGCTTAACGAATGGCTGAAAATGGGTCCTAATTAGTGGAAAAGTGCTTTCTTCATATTTTCTCACTCAAGTGTGCAGTGATTCATTTTTCTTATGCAATCATCTCGCTGCTAAAGTAAATCTGACTGTCTTCCCGCCATTTCACACCAAAAGTTAACTCTAACGGGTAGGAGGTTAGGTTCGTTGAGAGCAATGCAGTAAGAAGAGGGGACCCAATGTGGGCTTGTCTGTCTGGTCTTCCTCTCTTCCTTTTTTCTTCCCTTCTCTTCTCTGTGTTTCCCTTCCCTCCACTTGCCTTTCCTTTCCTGTCCTTCCCTTCCCTCCCCTCCCCTCTTTCTTTCTATAATTGGTGGGAGTTTTGCACAGACTTTCGAAACACTGAGAACTGCATAAAGTGTTTTTGAATGGGCTTACACATATTGAAGTAGATTTTTATACTCCAACTTTGAGATCACACACTAAAATCTATACCTTTACAGCATTTTCTGTTAGTTTGAAACTATTTGAAAATGAACAATGTGGTTTAGATTAAAATCCTGTTCTGAAGCTAGGAGTTCCACTATGAATATTGATTTATCAGTTTTTGATAAATTTTTGTTGTTATACCAGATTTTCACTGGCAAACCTAGAACAAATGAAATTCCACGTAAGATACTTCCCTAGACCTAACGGGAAAAATGTTTAATTTAGAGTCTTTAGGAGAAATGAGAATGAGGAATTGACCTTTTGTAAGCTTACTTCTGAGGCACTCTGAAGTGTGTTCCAGTACTTTTAATGGAAACTAGAGAGAGCCAGCAAACCCCTAGTGCGAGCCCCACTTTTAACCTGAGAAAGTGACCTTTTCCTCCTCCTTTGTGCTGAGTTTTGCGTAGGGCACAAAATTAAACTGATATTCAAAGAGATTCACTGCAAAAACGTATTGATACATTGTGTATTCCATTTCATTAAATTAAAAACATACTGCTAATTATCTCAGGTTGTTAAACATAAGGCAATTAATTATCATTTTAAAAATTGGTAGGAAGTTGTGAGTACTTTTGCAGTATGTTTTCCCGCTTTAGTATGAGGTTGTATATATTTGCTTGAACTTAAAGAATTTTCACTTTAACATTAGACAATGCTTTGTTAAAGAAATGAAATTTGCTAAAAAGGAACATGTAAAGTGAAACATTAAAAATAAATAATTTCAGCTTACTTAAGAGCTGCAGAAAAATCTGACTGCAGTGTTTAAAATGAATTTTCCCACATTTTGCTCTCTTATGGACAGGAGCATTTTCTGTCAGGTTGTAAATAAAGATATGCCCATTTTTGTAGCCCCACAAATGAGGAAGTTGTAAGCTCTCTGAGGTTTTACTGATGAGCCCCCTCCCCCTGGGTTTGCATGAAGAGATCATAGGCCACAAGTAAAGGACTACAAAATGGGATCTAAACTATCCTGGTGGGGCCTGATTCCCACGTTTCACATGGACCTTACAATGTGATGAACGGTTTTGGTATGAGGGTCTTAAGAATGCTTCCAGATTTGAGTTACAGGACAGCCAGCGCTGAGCTCCCTATTGCAGAACAAAATAGGAATCTAGAACTTTCTTGCTAACAGGATCCAACTAAAACACCAACTTAGATTCTCAAATGATGTTCTTTTCTGTCATTATTTGATTGTTGTCAGTAGCAGTTATTGTTACCAAGTCATTGATGTATTTATTCTTCCCTTTGCCCTTCTGAGACACAACTCATTTTGACTTCAGTGGAACCCCTCAAAGGTGGGGTGATGAACAAGGTGAATTTCCAGAGTAAAGCTACTAAGAGACCAAACTACCTGATCTTTGAATCAAATTCTATGTACTGTGGGCATAGTTCAACATAGATTAATTTCTTATAGTTGTTATGCAAAAAATTTCATCTCGATGATAGCTGATAATTTTGTGGGCGTCTTAAACAAAATGGAGGTCAGAATTCAGTCCCTTGGGGAAAATTTCCAGTTGGTCTGGAAACCAAGTGGCCTACCCAAGTTTGAAGACAGCAATCAGGATGTTTGCACCTTTGCATCCTCTCTGGAGCAAAGACTAAATACCCATTATTGTATATAGGTCAGGCCAAAGCAGCCTTTTATATTGCAAGGAATAAGAGGTAAATAGATATATGTGCAGCAATGAATCCCCTAATGTGTTTACTCTAGAACGCATGTTCTCTCTGTATATATAGGTAGATTTTGTAGATCTTGTCTTACCACCTGCTGATGGTAGATACTATATCTAAATAAGATGAGGAAAATTTATAGTACCTAGGAATGTGTCCTCAGTGGGCAAATCAATCAATCATGACTTCAAGTTATTTTTAATAAATATACACATATGGGTTCACAAACAGTGGGATGTTCCTGTGAAGATCTAAATCATTTTACTTCTTTGGGACTAAATAAAATATAGCTCTTGCCAAATAAACTCACACAAGCACTTATTTTAATAGAAGTCAAATGGCTTTGCAGAAATTTCAATTTTACAGGTGCATTGTTTGAAATGTTATGAGTATGCAAGTGGATTTCTCTATTATGTACAGTGTTAAGTTTCAGTCTCAAAATGTCCACCTGAAATGATTTACTTGTACGTTAAGATAATTTCACTGCTAAGAAGGCAAGATAAAGCATTCTTTGTGACACCATGTGCCCTTGCTGAGGGAAAAACTTACTGTTATAACTTTGTGTTTATCTCTCTTTAAAAAAAAAATGAAGAAAAAAAACTTTGAAAATAATCGGAACACAACTCTTCCTGGGCTCCTCTGTCTCTTTATCTTATTATAATAAATTACAAAAAAAAAAAAAAGTGACCTGAGGCATATCTGTGCAGACCCTTCTTTTGGAGCCAGTTTCTGTGTTTTTTAAAGCTGTAGGTTCTATTTTCATTGCACTTCATGTTGTTGCACAGCTCCTGGCCATGCATGAAGGTCTTCTGAAATCGGTAGGAGGGCAGAAGAAAATGATTCTAAATTTAGATTTTTTTAACTTAAGTGATGAAGTGTGAAACGCCATTTATATTTGAGGAAGCTACCTAGGAAGTGGCTGATGTCGATGGCCCAAATCAGAAGAGGGCCTGTAAAAGCCTCTGTCAATTTTGACTATGTATGCTTATCCCATGGCTGCTCAATAAACAGCAGTAGTAGTTGGAGAGCGGATGGTACAGTAGTATAGACAGGAAGCCTCTCCTCTCTGTGTGAACCGTGCACCCCATGAGAGGGTAGAGACAATACAATATGCCTGTAACGTTAGGACAGACAGTCATAGCCTGCTTGAACTCCAGCTCTGGGCTTCTTGCAGCAACAAACGTGAACACAAAGGACTGTCTCCAATTCCACTTTCTCTATTTTTAAAACAACTTTTTTGATACAGTATCTGCCATCTTTTCTTATACCTCTCTTTGAAACAGGTGGCTCCACTGTGGCATTTAAAATGTTCTATTTCTTTTCCCTCTGTATCAAATACCTCTTTCCTAAGAAAACATTCAAACAGCATAGTTTTTAACTGTGTTTTGAAAGGTTTCCTTAGTTCCCTTTGACCCTTCCTCTTTTGCATATCAGTTCCTGGCCATAAAAATAAAAAATGCTAGGACAGAAATGCACATCTGAGCTGATTTGCCCTCAAAAAGTTTCACAGTGGAACAAACCACAGGAGGAGTTTTCTGTGGCTCAGTTAAATGTCGGGGGAGGGTGGTGTGAAAGCCAAATTGGATTCCTGCTTTCCTGTTTAAATCTTGTTTTTCATTGTTATTTGCACCAGCAATACTCTGTGGAATAATCATGAAAATGTGTAGATTGGCAGCTAATTTTTGAAAAATGAAAAGAATCAGAAATGAAATAAGAGTGCTGAGAAGTTTTTATGTTCTCTCAACCTGTTTTGTCAAATTGTTACGAAAACCTGTAAGGTCTCTTTGACTAGATACAAAGACTTTGCATATTGCCTTAGCTTTCTCTTGAAGCATTTCCTTTTTAAAAATACAGTGTAATTCACAGTGATATGATAGATTTGCAAAAGTAAAATCTACCAGTCTGAAGATGAAAGGACTTGTCTCTTAGCAGGAATAATGGGTTTTATTAAAGAGGTCTGTGACCTAAGGCATTTTAAATAAATTACAGGCTTGGTCCATGCCCTCCCGCCCCCGCCATGTATCTACTTCCTTCAATATAAGCATCACTGAGTATTTAAGGAAATAACCCCAAATGTAACTCTAGTGTAGCTTCACTTGTCAGGGAGGAAAAAGTAAATAGCATACATTTGGCCAAATAACCAGAAGTTTACTGTGGAAGTTTTATGATGAAATTTGCCTTCATTGCAGAGTATTACAAAGATCATATTTAGTTTCTGGCAATATATAAGTAGCATCCATCCTCATCTGTCATGCATTTGGAGTGCACGACCCCTGCACCAGGCTGCAACATTCTGATGGGCAAGAGTGCTAGAGAGAAAGAGGCATCACCATCAGACTGCATGGGTTCAAGTCTCAGCTCTGTTGTTGATTAACTGTGTGACCTGGGGAAAGCTATTTCTCTTAGCCTTGGTTCTCTCTTCTATAAAATGGAGATAATAATGCAGATGCCATGGGTTTAATTGGGAGAGTTAAAGACACATTTACATATTTAGCAAGTAGGTGTTGAATTCTAGCTCTACATTGGACACTATGCAGGGTGCTCAAATGAACAAATGGACAAGACAGACATCACCCATGGTCTTTATGAGGCTTAACCATTTGCGTCTTCAATGCTAGAAACTTAGTAGGT